GTGTAATGAGGCAAGAAAAGGAATTAAAAGGCACACAGAGGGAAAGAAAGAAGTAAAACTGACCCTATCTGCTGACAAGATTAAGTAGAAAGTCCCAAGAAATCTAAAAGATGAAAAAGAAGCTACCTAGATGTAGTTCACAGGATACAAGGTCGATATAAACAACTGGATTCCTATATACCTGCAATGAACAATTGGAATTTGAAGTTAAAAAAAAGAGAGAATTTAAAATAGCACCCCCCAAAATGAAGTACTTAGGTGAAAATGTAACAAAATTTCATAATTTTCGAATTAGTGTTTTCATTTTCTTCAGATAAACAACCAGACATGAAATCGATGAATCCTATAGTATTTCTACGTTTAATGCTTTGAGGAACCTCCACATTGTTTTCCATAGTAGGAGCACCAGCTTACATTCCTACCAACAGTGCAAGACAGTAGCCTTTTTTCCACATCACCAACATCAGATGTTTGTGGCCTTTTTGACAACAGCTATTCTGACATGTATGAAGTAATATCTCATTATGGTTTTAATTTGCATTTCCCTGATGATTAGTGATGGTGGGCAGTTTTTCATGTGCCTGCTGGCCATCTATATGTCTTCTTTGGGAGAATGTCTCCTTAGGTCCTCTACCCATTTTTTAATCAAACCGTTTGCTTTTTTGTTATTAAGATGTATGTATTCCTTACATAATTTGGATGTTAACCCATTAAAATATATATCATTTGCAAATATATTCTCCCACTCAGTAGGTTGTCTTTCCCTTTTGTTGATGGTTTCCTTCACTGTGCGTAAGCTTTTTGGCTTGAGGTAGTCCAATTTGCTTATTTTTGCTTCTGTTTCCCTCACTTGAGAAGATCAGAAAAAAAAATACTTACCAATGTCAAAAAAAAGTACTACCTACATTTTCTTCTAGGAATTTTATGGTTTTAGGTCTTATACTTATGTTCTATACTTAAGTTTTAATCTATTTTGAGTGTATTTTTGCATATGGTGTGAGGAAATGGTCTAGATTCATTCCTTTGCATATAACTATCCGGCTTTCCCAACACCAATTACTAATGAGGCTGTCTTTTCCCCATCATATATTCTGTCTCCTTTGTCACAGATTAATTGACCATAAAAGAGTGGGTTTATATCTGGGCTGTCTATTCTACTCCATTAATCTATGTTGTCAGTTTTTGTGCCAGTACCATACTGTTCTCACTACTATAGCTTTTTAGTATGAATTGAAATCAGTGAAGTGTGTGATAACCAAGCTTTTATGTTCTTTCTTAAGATTGGGCTATATGAGGTCTTTTCTGGTTCCATACAGATTTTATGATTCTATCTGTTCTAGTTCTGTGAAAAATGCCATGGGTATCTGACGGATTTCATTGAATCTATAGATTGCTTTGGGTAGCATGGACATTTTAACAATATTAATTATTCCAATCCATGGACACAAATATCTTTCCTTTGTTGTATAATCCTCTATTTCTTTAAAATAATATCAAGTTTTCAAAGTACAGGCCTTTCATCTTCTTGGTTAAATTTATTCCTAGGCTTTTTTTTTGACACAACAGTAAACAAGATTGTTTAATTTCTCTTTCTAATAGTTTGTAATTAGTATACAGAAATACAACAATTTTGTATATTAATTTTTTTTGTCTTGCAACTTTATGGAATTCATCTCTTTATCCTAATATTTTCTGGTGGAGTCTTTAGGGTTTTGGGGTTTTTTTTTTTAGGGTTTTCTATATATAGTATCATGTTATCTGCAAATATTGACACTTTTACTTCTTTCTTTACAATTTGGATGCTTTCTATTTTTCTTGTTTGACTGCTATAATGAAGACTTCCAATAGTATGTTGAATAAAAGTGGCAAGAGTGGGCATCCTTGCCTTCTTCCTGATCTTAGAGAAAAATCTTTCAGCTTATTACCACTGAGTATGATGTTAGCTGTGGATTTATCACTAACGATCTTTATTATGATGAGGTATTCTCCCTTTATACCCTTTGTTGAGAATTTTTATCATAAACGGATGTTGAATTTTGTCAAATTCTTCTTCTGCATCTACTGAGATCATATGATTTTTATTCTTCGTTTTGTTAACATGGTGTATCATGTTGAATGATTTGCTGTTACTGAGCAATTCTTGCATCTCTGAAATAAATCCCAGTTGATCATAGTTATGATCCTTTTATGTACTGTTGAATTCTGATGGCTACTTTTTTTGGAATATTTTTATATTTATATTCATCAGAGATAATGACCTATAATTTTCTTTTTTATAGTGTCTTTGTCTAGTTTTGGTATCAGAGTAATTAATGCTGGCCTTGTAGAATGGGTTTGGAAGAGTTTCTTCCTCTTCAATTTTTTGGAATAGTTTGAAAAAATAGGTATTAACTCTAGATGTGTTAGAATTCACCTATGAAGTCATCTGGTCTTGAACTTTTGTTTGTTGGAAGTTTTTGATTAATGATTGAATTTTATTAGTAATCAGTCTGTTCAGATTTTCTATTTCTTCATGATTCAGTCTTGGAAGACTTCTGTTTCTAGGAATTTATCCATCTCTTCTATGTTGTCCAATTTGTTGGCACAGTAGTCTTATGATTCCTCACACTGATATGGTATAAGTTATTACTTTTCCTCCTTCATTTCTCACTTTACCTAGGCCCTCTCTTTTTTTTTTCATGATTAAGTGTGACTAAAGGTTTTTCAATTTTATTTATATTTTCAAAAAAAATCTCTTAGTTCCATTGATCTTTTCTTTTTTCCTAGTCTCTCTTTCATTTATTTCTGCTCTAATCTTTGATTTCCTTCTACTAACTTTCAGTTTTGTTTGTTCTTTTTCTAGCTCCTTATGTATAAGAAAAGCATAATCCTTAAAAGGAAATCTATAAATTGGACTTCCTCAAAATTAAAAACTTTTGCTCTACAAAAGACCCTCTAAAGAGGAAGAAAAGACAAAGTATCAATTTCATTATTTCCAGTCTGACTTTTATTATTTCCTTCCTTCTACTAAGTTTGGGCTTGTTGTGTTCTTCTTTTTCTAGTGCCTTTAGGTATAAAAGCTATATTTTAATTTGAGATTTTTTTTATTGTTTCTTGAAGCAGGCCGTATTGCTACAGTCTCCCCTCTTAGAACTACATGTTGTGCATCCCATAGATGCTGGAAAGTTGTGTTTCCATTTTCATGTGTCTCAAGGTATTTTTTAATTTCCTCTTTGATTTCTTTGTTGATTCATTGGCTTTGTAGCATTTTGTTTAGTATTCATGTGTTTGTGGTTTTTTCCAGTTTTCTTCTTGTAACTGATTTCTAGTTTCATACCGCTGTGGTCAGAAGAGATGTTTGATATAATTTCAGACTCTTAAATTTTTTGACACTTGTTCTGTAGCCTAACATGTGATCCATCCTAGAGAATGTTCCATATGCACTTGAGAAGAATGTGTATTCTACATTTGGGGGATAGAATGACCTGTATATATTAAGTTCATATATTAAGTCTAATGTTTTTAAGGCTGATGCTTCTTTATTGATTTTTCTGTCCGAATGAACTATCCATTGATGTAAGTAGTGTATTAAAAAGTAGTGTAAAAATACAATGATAGTATCATTGTATTACTATCAATTTCTCCCTTTACTGAGTCCATTATGTAACATCCTTCTTTGTCTTCTGTTATAGACTTTGTTTTAAAGTTTACTTTGTCCAGTATGAGTATTGCTACCCCAGGTTTCTTCTCATTTCCATTTGCATGGAATATCTTTTTTCATCCCTTCAGTTTCAGTCTGTTTGTCTTCAGATCTGAAGTGAGTTTCTTGTAGACAGCATACAAATGGGTCTTGTTTTTTAATCCACTCAGTCATCTGTGTCTTTTGATTGGAGCATTTAGTCAAGTTTATATTTAAAGTTGTTATTGCCAGTTATGTACTTATTGCCAGTTTGTTCATTATTTTCTGCTTGCTTTTGTAGTTTTTCTTTGTTCTTTTCTTCTTCTCTTGGTCTCTTACCTTTTAGTTTGATGATTTTCTTCAGTATTATGTTTGAGTTCCTTTCTCTTTATCTCTGTGTATCTACTGTAAGTTTTGGATTTGCAGTTACCATCAAGTTGATAAATAATTATATTTTTACACACACACACACAGCTGACAGTTGCTGAAATTCAAAAACATTCTACAGTATAAAAATACTACATTTTTATTACCCCTCCCAATGTTTTATGTTTCTGGCATCATATTTTACATGTTAAACTTTGTGCATCTCTTTACATTGTAGTTAGTTGATTTCATTACTTTTGTCTTATAACCTTCCTACTAGCTTTACAAGTGGCTGATCCACTGCCTTTGCTATGTATTTAACCTTTACCAGTAAGATTTCTTTCTTTCAAACATTTTCTTATTCAAGCTATTGCATTTTCTTTCCCACCTTAAGAAGATGCTTTAACATTTCTTATAAGGCTAATTTAGTGGTGCCCAACTCCTTTAGGTTCTGCTTGTCTGGGAAACTCTTCATCTCTCCTTCAATTCTGAGTGATAACCTTGCCAGGCAGAGTATTCTTGGTCGTAAGTTTTATCCTTTCAGTACTTTAAATATGTCATGCCACCCTCTTCTGGCCTGCAGTTTCTGCTGAAAAATCAGCTAATAATCTAGTGGTGTTTTCCTTCTGTATGATTCGTTGCTTTATCTCTTACTGCCCTTAAAATTCTGTCTTTATCTTTTGCCATTTTAATTATATGATTTGGTATGGCTCTGTTTGGGATCATCTTGTTTGGGACTCTCTGTGTGTCCCATCAGTGGATGCCTGTTTCCTTTCTCAGATTAGGGAAGTTTTAAGCCATCATTTCTCCAGGTAAGTTTTCTGTTCCTTTCCCTTCTCCATCTGAGATCCTTACTCCTAAAGTTGCCCCAAAGATCCCCTAAACTCTCCTCATTTAAAAAAATTTTTTTTGCTTTCCTGACTGGTTGATTTCCACTATTTCATCTTCCAGATTGCTGATGTGTTCTACTGTATCATCCAATCTGCTGTCAATTTCCTCTAGTGTTATTTTTCATTTCAGCTTTTGTGTTCCTCAGCTCTGACTGGTTCTTTATTATATTTTCTAATTCTTTGACATTCTCACTGTGTTCCTCTATTCTTCTCCCTACTTTAGGAAGCATTTTTAATGACCATTTCTTTGAATCCTTTACCAAGCAAATTACATATCTCCATTTCATTAAGGTTTTTGCCTGCATTTTCATCTTATTCTTTCTTTTGGAACTTATTTCTCTGTCCCTAATTTGTTTGACTTTGTGTCTGTTTCTATATATCAGGTAAAATAGGTACTTTCCCGGTCTTGAAGGCATAGTCTTGGGCAGGAGCATGCCCTGTGTAGTCTGCAAGTACCAGGCAACTTTGACAGGCCAAGCCTGGCCAGTCATGGACCAGAGGGGTCCTGAGGCAATCCACATTCAGGCTGCCTCAGCAAGAATGGCTATAGCTTATGTGGGCCAGGGCCTTGCTGGGGTAGCCTTGGTAGGCCAGCTACGGCACCTGAACCATATTCCCACTCATGCTATCAAGGTGAAGGGGGGAACACAAAAAGTGGTGCACTCTAGCACTTTCAATGCTGGAGAAAGTTTCAGCACACCCCCAACCATTTAGCAGACATTCTAGGGTTAGTAAATGGATTTCACTCATGTATAGTCCAGGCCCCCTTTACGACTGTTTTTTCTCTGTGCCCCAGGACAGGTAATCCTGCACACAGGCCCCTCAGTTATATCCTTCCCCACTACAGTACAATGAATTGAAGTGGGGTTCCCATTGATACTGTGTCTCTGTCTCTCCCTCCAATCTCTATGTGGTCCTTGTATCGTTTGTTGTGCAGAGGCTGTTTAATCAGTCCTCAGTTCTTCTGCAGGAGGAATTGTTCTTCATACAGCTGTAGACCCAGTGTGTCTGTGAAAGTAGGTGAGTTCAGGATCTTCCTATGCCGCCATCTTGAACAAAATGCTGAGTTTTATGTTGGTTCAATCTTAGTCACAAGGAGGCTATCAGAAGCAATGGGGTTGCAGGCTTGCACAGCACGGCCCTAATGAGACCGGTATCCAAGTCTTAAACACCACTGCTGGAGCTAACTGGCATATTCTTAAGGACAAAAGGCTTAACAATTGGGAATTCAGCCATTAATACTTCCTTCTTCCATGCGTTGACTCTCCTCCAGTTTGTGTCTGCTTTTTGTCACTGTTCAGTCCTTCCACATCATTGTTTTTAGCATTTTGGCCAGAGGTTATAACTGGAATCTGTGGGAGCTATCTGTTTATCCAAACAGAGCTACTCTCCCATTACCACCAGAAGCAGAACTCCTCAACTAAATACCAGACACAGAACTGTAACAATATAACTTCATTCTAAAGAAAAAAGAAATTTTAAATGAATACCTAACACTAGTTAGGTTTCTTTATTGTGATGGTTTGTTTCCAAATTTGAAAGTATATGGGTATAATGATGACTGAGCAACTGAGTACATACACTAAGGATAAGGGGAACCAAATTTCTTTCTGTTGCAGTAAAACAATATGAAAAGAGGATGACTAAAATGACACCTGTTGTCCAACGTACAATTAAAAGTATCAATATCAACTCATGAAAATATAACACATACACTGGCTTTCTCTATAAGGGGGCCTGGAAGCAAAGACATTCTGGTGGCAACGAGCACACCATACACCTAGATACTGTTTTCTAAATACCATATCTCATAAAATGAAGCAGAACTCCTTGGAGAAGTAACTGATTCCAGGGCTGGGGAAGAGACACTGCAAAGTAAACAATGAACATCTTGTGAGGGCAGAAAGTAAGGATAAAATAAGAAAAAATAATGGATAATGATAAAAAAAACTCAGTAGTTTCAAAGTAATCATCAATTACTTACCATTTACAAAGAAATAAATCATATAACTTTATAGTGAATTAATGTAGCAAAATAACCACACCAAATAACCTGAGTTAACATCACCAATAAAGGAAAAACTATACTCTGTGCCTTGTGATATAATATACAGACAAGAACATAACATCACTTATGTGGTAATCTTGCCAAAAATTTAAAGAAACCTCAATCTAATTATAGTAAGGCAAATCCACATTGAGGGACAATCATCTAAGTAATAAACAGATTTGTGCATTTGAAAAATACCATGGTTCCAGCAGACAGAGAAATTATTTCAGATTTGGAAAGACTAAAGGCCAGGTAACTATATGCAACATGTAATCATCAACTGGATCCTGGACTTCAGCAGAAAAAACTTACCTATGAACACACTGTTGGGAAATTTATGAATTAAGAATAGAAATTATAGATTAAAGTACGTATTTCGTTTTACCCATGTATTTACCCTTCCCATTGCTATTCATAACTTTCTGTATTTTGGTGTCACATTTCAAGTTATTTTCCTTCTGATTCAAGAAAACTCTTTAGTATTTCCTCTAGTGTAGGTCTGCTGAAATCAAGTTTTCACTTTTTGTATTTATTCAATTTTCATGTTAGAAAGATGTTTTCACTGAACAGAGTTCTACACTGACAATTATTTTCATTTGGCACTTTAAAGTTATCATTTCATTGTCATCCAGCTTCTAACATTCCTGTTGTAAAATGAGCTATCACTGTAACTGTTGTTCAAAAACACTCAACATTCAAATAGCAATGACTTTGGGGGGAGTGTATAGCTCAAGAGGCAGAGCACTGGATTAACATGCACAAGGTCCTGGGTTCAATCCCCAGTACCTCCTCTATAAATCAATCAATCAATCAACAAATTAACCTAGTTACCTTCCACCAAAAAAATCTCATAAAAAATTTAAAAATAATAATAAAATAAAAAGCAATGACTTTTTCCCTCTGGCTGCTCAGATTTTTCACTTGGTTTTCATTCTTTAGGAGTTTAATTATGATATTCTTAGTTGTAGTTCTCTTTATATATATCCAGATTGAGGCTCATAGTATTTCATGAATCTATGGCTTGATTATCTTTCATTATTTTTAGAAAATACTCAACTAGTATCTCTTCTTAGTTTCTGACCCATTGCCTCTCTTCTCACCTTCTGGGACTATAAGTACACATATGGTTGAGCTTTTCCCTGTGAACTACATCTCTTAATACTTCCTGTACGTATTACCTTTCTTCTGAAAGTGCACAAGTGTGTGTGTTGTGTGTGTTCAGCTAGCCACAAAACCTCAAAACAAGTGATGGTAATCATCACGTGATACAACACAGTTTTAGAAAGGAGAAAGACAGGTAGAGATGAGATGTTAAATGTTTTTTATTTTTAAAAATATGTACCAAATCTACTCAGAGAAGTTACAAAACAACCTAAAAATTTATTGCATAATACATGAATAACAAAATAGAATTAGCAATTAAAAAACCTCCTTGCAAACAAAGCCCAGGACTAGATGGCTTCACTGGGGAATTCTACCAAATATACAAAGAAGAACTGACACCAGTCCTTCTCAAACTCTTCCAAAAGATTGTAAAGGAGTGAGTACTCCCAAACTCATTCTATGAAGCCACCATCACCCTGATACCAAAACCAGGCAAAGACACTGCCAAAAAAGAAAATTACAGGCCACTATCACTGATGAACATAGATGCAAAAATCCTCAACAAAATATTAGCAAACAGAATCCAACAGCACATAAAAAAGATCATACACCATGACGAAGTTTGATTCATCCCAGAGACACAAGGATGGTTCAACATACGCAAATCAATCAATGTGATATAACACATCAAGAAAAGAAAGGACAAAAACCACATGATCATCTCAATAGATGCAGAAAAAGCATTTGATAAAATTCAACACCCATTTATAATAAAAAGTCTTACCAAAGTGGGTATAGAGAGAACATATCTCAACATAATAAGTTATTTGTGACAAACCTACAGTCAGCAAAAAACTCAATGGTGAAAAACTAAAAGCCTTCCCACTAAAACCTGGAACAAGACAAGGATGCCCACTCTCACCACTTCTATTTAACACAGTCTTGGAAGTCTTAGCCACAGCAATCAAGCAAGAAGAAGAAATAAAATGGATCCAATTGGAAGGGAAGAGGTAAAGCTGTCACTGTATGTGGATGACATGATACTATATAAAGAAAACCCTAAAAGCTTAACACACAAACTACTAGAGCTGATAAAAGAATTCGGCAAGGTAGCAGGATACAATATCAACATACAAAAATCAGTTGCATTTCTTTACACTAATAATGAATTAGCAGGAAAAGAAAGTAAAGAAACAATCCCTTTTAAAATCACATCCAAAACAATAAAATACTTAGGAATAAATCTGACCAAGGAGGTGAAAGACTTATTATACATGGAGAACTACAAAACATTAATTAAGGAAATTAATGATAACTTACAACAATGGAAAGCTATCCATGCTCTTGGATTGGAAGAATCAATATCATTAAAATGGCCATACTGCCTAAGGCAATCTACATATTTAATGTGATCCCTATCAAACTACTCAGAGCATTTTTCACACAATTAGAACAAACAATCCTAAAATTCATATGGAATCAAAAAAGACCCAGAATTGCTAAAGCAATATTGAAGGAAAAGAATGAAACTGGAAGAATAACCCTCCCAGACTTCAGACAATATTACAGAGCTACAGTAATCAAAACAGCACAGTATTGATATAAAAAACAGACATATGGATAAATGGAACAGAACAGAGAGCCTAGAAATAAACCAACAGACCTATGTTCAATTAATCTTCGACAAAGGAGGCAAGAATATACAACGGAGAAAAGACAGTCCTTTCAGCAAGTGGTGTTGGGAAAACTGGATAGCAGCATGCAAATCAATGAAGTTAGAAGAGTCCC